TTTTGCTGAATTTTGTAAAATACGGTAAATCAATATGTATCAGAAAATGTAATAAAAATAGGCGATGATTTCAGAGCCATTTTTTGGAAAAAACCATGGGCTATAGCCTTGGGTATCATGAAGTACACATGTAGTTACTTGAAAGTTTTGAAGGAGAGAGAGATGATAGTAAAATTCACAGAAAGCCTTGATTAGCGAATTTCTTTTCCTGTTTGAGTTCTTGATACGACGGGCTTGAGAGAAAGTGTCAACTTGTTCCGCTAAGTGTTGAAGCTGGTGACTCAATTCAGACTCATGTACTAACAATAGGGAGGAAGAGGGAGGGACAGTATAAATTACATGTACATGCATTGAACATTTGAGCTGTTAAAAATATAATTTAAATACATGTACATGAACATGTGTATTTAAATAATACACATGTGATAATAATTTTGTATAATTTTGTGATAATGGAACTAATGGGTTTTTGCTTGTCATGGATTTCGTGACAATGGAACTAATGGGTTTTTGCTTGTCACGGATTTCGTGACAATGGAACTAATGGGTTTTTTGATTGTCGCAAATTTTGTGACAATGGAACTAATGGGTTTTTTGCTTGTCACGGATTTTGTGACAAGCTTTATCTTTATTATTACATGAATTAATAAATTGTAACAATTGCTAAATTTAGATTCATAAGCTAATTATGTATACATAATGTTTCTCTTACTGCAAAGAATTGTTGAAAGTTGAGATGATTTCTCAGATCAAAGATTAATGTCCGTAACTTTGTTATTGATGCTTGTCAAGTGGTTCCAGATATAAAAAAAGCAGTGATATACTAATAGTTCATTGGAAGTACTTTATTCTAATGTTGTCAGCAACCTCCCTCTCTCCCATTGCATCTAGTGCTGCTACTAATGATATCCAGTTTGATCCACCTCCTCTTGTCTCTCTTACTCCATCCTCTCCCTTTAGCTAGGAAGATAGACACTCCATTAGACACTTCTTTGATTTCTTGTAATCTTCAGTCACGACATAGTCATGAAATCAGTTGAGACTCAATCATGAAAAGGTTTTGCACTGGTTCAGGCCAGAATATCAGACATGATCAGCAATGATACTTGTCAGGACTGTACCAGTACTGATATCAGACTTGATTCGCTCATTTTGGGCAATATCGCTAATTCAGGCATGATTACTATTGGCTGTGTAAGTAATAGGAGGCTTCTGTCGTTTAGTGTTGATGACTTCAGTGGTGCTGGCTTGTCCTCCATTGTTTCTGTGTACAAGAACACACCCCCATACTTCTTAATTTAATTAATGTGCAAAGGAATTTTTAAAAACAGTAAAAAAAGCATCATTTTAATGATTAAAAATAAGGAAATGATTTCCAAAATTAAATCAATAGCAGGAGGAGGATGGTCAGTGTCCTATTGTGAACACAAAAGGTTAACATTCATTAACTTAATATGTACATGTACATACCTAGTTCTTCAAGCATAACATTTCCTATCTCTTCCATTGCTGCACCTTGTTCAGTCAATACATTACACACTTTAACTAAATATTGTCTTTCATCAAGAGAACCATCTAACTGACCCATCACATCAGTCATTACTCTATCAGCTTTATCAGCATTAGATACACCAACAGCTGTCACTACAT